TAACACAAAGTTTTTCCACACTTATACCCTCCAAGGACGCAGACAAAATGCCATATCAAGGCTGGTTGATGCTCAGAACAGAGAACACACTTCTCACCAGGATATTCAAGATCACATCACAAGTTTCTACTCCCACCTTTTCACCTTTGAAGGATCTTGGGGAGGGGATGCTATTCTCCCTCTCATTCCACAGACTATCACCTCTGAGATGAACCATAACTTGATCAAACCAGTCAATGAAGAAGAAATCAAAGGGGCCCTCTTCAGTCTCAGCCCTGACAAAACTCTAGGGGAGGATAGTATGAGTCCTTTGTTTTATCAAAAATTCTGGCAATTAATCAAATTTGATATGATTGAAGTTGTTAAAAGTTTTATTGATAGTGGTTTGCTCCTCAAATACTGGAACCACACTATTGTCTCTCTCATCCCAAAATGTCCTAATCCTGATCTCATCTCACAATTCAGACCCATCAGTTTGTGTAGAGTTGTTTGTAAAGTTTTGTCTAAGTTGCTTGCTACCAGACTTAAGTCATGCCTGGATATTTGTATCAATCCTACTCAGTATGCTTTCATAAAAAACAGACAACTCTTGGACAATGTAGTCATAGCCCATGAGGCTTTCCATTACCTCAACAGACACTCTTCTGGTAAGAACAACTTTATAGCCATCAAGCTTGATCTCATTAAAGCATTTGCCAGGGTAGAGTGGTTGTGTGTGAAGAAAAATATGATTCGGACGGGCTTTTGTCAAGAATTTGTGAAATTAATCATGGCCTGTATATCTTCTTTCTCTTATTCTTTAAAAAATAATGGAGATATTGGTTGTTATGTTATTCCTTCTAGAGGCATCAGACAGGGGGATCCCCTTTCCCCCTATCTCTTCATTATGATTGATGAGATCTTATCTGCTCTAATTGCAAATGCTATTGACTCTGAAAATCTCACAAGTCTGAAACTATCAAAGAATGGCCCTGTTCTTTCTCACTTACTCTTTGTAGACGACTCTCTGTTATTTTGCAAAGCTAGTGTGGACCAGGCTGACCATTTCTTAAATTTATTGGACAAGTACAGACTTTTTACAGGCCAAAGGGTGAACTTACAGAAATCAGGAGTTTTCTTCAGCAAGAACTCCCCCCAGCTTGTATCTGTGCCACTTTGCAGAAAATCACTCCTTACAAATCCACCAGATACCTTGGTGTCCCTCTGGGCATAGGGAGATCCCAAATTGAAACTTTCAAGTATGTTCTGGAATCTGTCAAGTCTAGAATCACAAACTGGAAATCCAAATTACTCACCCCAGCAAAAAGGAAGTTCTTACCAAAGCAGTTCTTCAGGCCCTTTCTATTTTTACTATGTCTTGTTTCAAGCTCCATTCTACTCTTTGTTCTGAAATTACAAAAATCTGCTCCCATTTCTGGTGGAGTAAAGGAGATGATCATACAAAAGGCATTCACTGGAGGCCTTGTAAGTTCTTATCTTTGCCTAAGAAATCTAGAGGTCTAGACATCATGGATATCAAGGACTTCAATTCAGCACTCATCTGTAAGCAACTCTGGAGAATTACTTCTCAGCCTGAGTTAATGGTCAGCAGGATCCTCAAAGACAAGTACTTTCCTAATTGCTCTCTTTTTGAAGTTGTCAAAACTCAAAATAGTTCCTGGTTGTGGGCAAATTGGCTGCAGGTTATGCCCACATTTTCCAAGGGTTTTGCCACAGAAATCAGAAATGGCAATACCACAAGACTATCTGATGTTAACTGGGTCCCTAATTTGCAAATTTCACAACCTCATCTCTTGAAAATTGCTAGAGGCCACATAATATGGGTCAAGGAGCTGCTAAATGACACATGCACAGGTTGGAATGATTGGCTAGTAAACCAACTTTTCACCCGTGAGGACAACCAAGCCATTCTCAACATCAAGACCCTTAAGCCTTCGAAAGAAGACAAAAGGTATTGAAAATTTGACAAGAAAGGTAAATTCTCAGTATCAAGCACAATGCATACCTTCCAAAACAAAAAACTCTGTCTCTTGAGTAGCTGCTTGCAAAATCCCCCAGAGTAGCTGCTTGCAAAATCCAAGTCTTAGCTCAGGTATTCTTAGATGCTGGAAGTTGAAAATAAATGGCAAACTCAAATACTTCATTTGGAAGGGCTGTTCTGGAACTATGCCTGTCAAGTCCAACCTCAAGAGAAAAGGTTTGGACATGGATTTGATATGCCAAGGCTGTGGAGAAGCTCCTGAGACCATAGAACATCTCTTCTTTCATTGCTCACAAGCCTTTTTTTTAAGGAAAATTTCTCCCGTCAATTGGGATGGCCTGCTCTCCTCCTCTACTAACTCATTCAGCTGCTGGTGGAACCGTCTTTGCACCATAGGACACTCTGAAGTTGCCTAAGCTCGCATTAAACTAACCACCTACTTGCTTTGGTGGCTTTGGAAGACTCGAAACTTATGGACTTTTCAAAAAGTTCACCACCCTGCCCAAGTAGCAGTTAAGGAAGCTCTTTCTGATTGGATGGCTTTTGTTAATCTCTCTTAATTTATAGCTGCAGTTTATTAGTTTTTTGATTTCTTTAGTTGTCTATTTTTCTGTTTTCTCAATCTCTTTTTGTTCAGTCCCTCTAGGCTCCATGCAATGGAGTGGTTTTTTTT